GCCCGGCCTGTAAGGCCCTTCTGAACTGAGAGAGCAGAGACTGTGAGCAAGCAGTCTGAGAGTGAGCGTTCAGTGACATCACCCCTCTTGAGGGATACAGGGAGCAGTGGGATTCTCATGGCCCAGATGGGGCAGTGGACATACCCAGAGAACTGGATCTCCAAGCACCCACAAGGGCCTTCACTGGCAGATGCAACCAGCTCACAACTACCACCTGTGCAGCGAGCTCCACTGCAGTGGAGAGGTCTCGCTGTGCTGCGTCACTCACCTTTCTGCGGCTGCGGAGGGACTGGGAAAGCTGTTGCACCGTTGCCCGTGGATGTGCTGCGGGTGGAGGTAGGAAGGGTCTGGGAGGTTGTTGAGGGTAACGGTGTTACCGTGCTTCTCCCATTGTCCGTCCTCAGTGAGGCTGTGGTTGTTACTGGACATGCAGGGAGAGAGACAGGAGTGGGTCTTACGGTGAGAGGATAGCAGAGTGAGATTCAAAGAAATCAGGAGCTGGAAGAGAGAGCCAGAAACCTTCTTGTCTGTCTGCTGGTTGCTCCCAAACCACTCCCTACATAAGCAGTTTTCTGCTAGGGCAGAGGGGGTGGTGACCCTGTCACCCGTCACTCCCCCACTCACTTCATCCTCTGGTGGATCTGACTTCAATCCTAGCTGGGTGATGCTAATTCAGCTAATTCTAGGCTGAATTGAGCCAATGGGCCACTATAAGAGATAGAGACAAGGGAAATCCCACCTACCTGGAGCCTCAGTCTTCAGAGGGGAGCCTGAAGATGCTGTGGATGGTGAGGACTTGCTGGTAACAGACAGAGGAGAGGTGTGACCTGTGGATAGGGTGCTGGAGCTCCAGGTGACTGCAGGACTGGGGACTGATTGAGAGAATGAACAAACACTAGTTGAAGTACACAAACTCGATATGGTCAGAGCTGTGCTTACACGAGCAGAGAAAGCAGAGACAGAAGAAGCAGAGTCTATGGATGGCTGTAGACTAGGAAAGGGTCTATGAGAATACTCACATGCTGAAGAAGTTGCAAGAGTGGTCTTGATCAAAGGCTGCGTTGTAGGTGAAAATGATAAAGTCAGTGTAGAGCCAGTGCTGCTGCTCTCATTGACTGACGAACTTACATATATTGAATTTGTCGTGGGGTTGGTGGTGGAGGCTAACCTTTGAGTAGTACCAGGGTACTCAGGGATGGATGTGCTAGAGACACCCTCTGAGGAAGTGGGGACTTGGGTAGTATTTGTCAAAGAGATGCTGCCAGAATGTACAGGGGGAATATCCGATGTTGTCATGTTCTCTTGGGTGACTGAGCTTGTCAGAACTTCTCCACGGGTGGACAAAAGTGTGGAAGGAGAATGAGTGGCTACATCCCTCAGGGTGGTGGAACCAATGACAGCAGGTGGCCCTTCAGTAGTTCCAGGTGACAAGGTGGGAATTGTTGTGTGGCTCTGGTGGCCGTCACTGAATGGGGTGGAGATGAGGGTTTCCCTGCTGTCCGAAGGTGACAGAGTGTGCGTCTCAGTTTGTGGAGACGTGTGCCCATTTGGTGTGGATGAAAGAGGTGGGGACGTGACCGTTGAGAATGTGTCAGTCACCTGGGCGGACACAGAGCTCATGGTTTCAGATCCCGCGCTAGTTCCTATACTCCAGGTCTGAGGCATGTGGGGAATGGCTGACATTTCCTGAAGAGAGGTGCCGGAAGAAGTTGTGGTTGAC